TAACGCCAGATTCTTTATGCTAAGTGTAACAATCCCAACCGTACATTCAGAGGGCTATCTTTGAGACAACTGGCCCAGTTAACCTCAGAATTTCATCGTACGGCTTTGAATGTTCCACGTCAGCAAGGATAACTGCCACGGCCTCTATTCCCGCCGACAAATAAGCGCAACGAGATTTTTGCGAGCGAATATTTCTGCAGGATTTCGTAACGAAAATTAAAAATTACGACTTTACCGAAAATTTAGGCTAATTTTAAGGCAAAAGTTTATATAGAACTCTAAACTAGAGCCCATCCTCAAAAATTTTCACTCGAAGAGGTTGTTGAATCGGTAATCTCCACACCTTGATGCATGGAAACAAGAAAAAAATGCATTTCCATTTTTTGACCGTCAATTTTCAAGATTTTCAAATTTTCATACATATATTATGTTTTAAGCTTTAAATTTGGCATTGATTTCATGCAAAGGTTAAAAGGGTTGTGATAGATGTATTTATAAAAAAAAAAAATTATTTAAAGTTGTGACCTTAAAATGAAGAATTACAGATGCACTTAAAAAATCCATCATAAAAGACTGTTTTAATGTTAAAAAACCCTCTAATTGATTGTAAAAATATGAAAAAAAAAAAAAAAAAAAAAATTTTAGAGTCCCAAAAGTATTGCATCTTGCAACACATTATCTAAACCGTTCATTTTCAATATTTTCATATGTTTATAGATCTACTTGATTTTATCCACTTTTGGAGTTTCAAATTTTATAATTAGATATGAAAAGGGATTTTAAGATAATCTTAAGAATTTTTTACACCAAAATTATATATGATGATCGAATTTGGAGGTGCACCTTAAATGGATTGTTTACCGTTGTAACCTTATAAAAACCATACCTTTTATAAAATAGATTATTACTTTTTATTTAAAAAATTATTTTAACAAATAGTTTAACCATTAATTTTTACAAAGTGCAATTCCAGTTTAGAAGTTAATATCGTAGAGTGCCTC